TACACCTGCCCCCATACCTCCTCCCTCACCCCCATCCCATGCCCCAACAAGACTTTCCACATCAAGCAGATGTTCACCTGCACATCTGCTAATGTGGTATATTGTATCCGCTGTACCCATTGTGGCCTCCTCTACATTGGGGAAACCAAGCGGAGGCTTGGGGACTGCTTTGCAGAACACCTATGCTCGGTTCGCACTAAACAACTGCACCTCCCAGTCGCGAACCATTTCAACTCCCCCTCCCATTCCTCAGACAACATGTCCATCCTGGGCCTCCTGCAGTGCCACCCGAAGGTTGCAGGAACAGCATCTCATATTTAGCTTGGGAACCCTGCAGCCCAATGGTATCAATGTGGACTTCTCAAGCTTCAAAATCTCCCCTCCCCCTACTGCATCCCAAAACCAGCCCAGCTTGTCCCCGCCTCCCTAACCTGTCCTTCCTCCCACCTATCCCCTCCTCCCACCTCAAGCCCCACCCCCATCTCCTACCTACTAACCTCATCCCGCCCCCTTGACCTGTCCGTCCTCCCTGGACTGACCTATCTACTCCCTAATTCCCAACTTACACTCACCTTTGCTGGCTCCATCCTCGCCTCTTTGACCTGTCTGTCTCCTCTCCACCTATCTTCTCCTCTGTCCATCTTCTATCCGCCTCCCCATCTCTCCCTATTTATTTCAGAATCCCCTTCCCCCCCCCCATTTCTGAAGAAGGGTCTAGGCCCGAAACGTCAGCTTTCCTGCTCCTCTGATACTGCTTGGCCTGCTGTGCTCATCCAGCTCTACACCTTGTTATCTAAGAATCAATCGTGGTGATTTGAGAAAGTTATGGTTCAAAGAACTAAATAATAAATGGCTTAATTATTTTGACTGGTGGATTACTGATTACTATGAAAATGCAATATTAATTGTGATGATATTTAGTGAATTGAATACACGTTACAGTAATCCTCCATAAATACATCAAGGAATCAATAACAGGCAGTTTGCGCACACCTGACATTCTCCACAGTAGAACATCTCTCGGCTTTTCACCAAAAAGAAGACACCTGGATATATATAAAAGTCCATTTGTAGGAATAAGAGGTCTTTTGTTTATCCAGGGCTACTACTGTAATATTCTGTCATACCTGATGTTTCTCCAATGGATGGGAAACCAGTGGAAACTTTGAACAAAATATAAGTTACAGATTCCACCATTTTACCAGAATTTTTACCAATCTTCCATTTTGCTGTTGGATGGAGGTTTACCAATTACTTGTGAAATTCTCTAAACATGTTCTCTTTGAGCACTCTTGGAAGCTGAGAAACAGAGCAAATCAAAATGGTTTTAGACCAGGAATCCATGGTGCAGATGTTTAGTGACTGAATAATTAGCTGCTGAGATAACAGTCAGAAAAGTGAAGATACTTCCAATTGGAGATGGTCACTCAGTGCAGTGAGTTTGGGACTAGATTTGAACAAATGAATGAGTAACTAAATATCATTTAACAGGTGCACAAAGAGTTAATGAAACTCAGCAAGAGTGGAGGTAAAGGATGTGTAGGTCTTTTCATAGCAATGATCCTGGTTTGCAGAATTCTAGAGAATCTGACAACAGTGAACATTATGAGGCCTAAAAGTATTCGAAAAGTCAATTCTTCAACTGATGAAGATCTGGATTAGAGTTTCAATACTGGAAGTGATAGTTCTTGAAGTAGACATTGTTCTCAAGCTGGAAATGTCTTGGTGACATATTGTGTAAGTGGTCAAACCAACTTGAAATGAGCATTAAAGCTGCACAGCCAGATGTAGTCTAACATAGGAAATTGGAAAGTTGATGAAATTGGAGGAAAGAACAGTAAGAGATGGTAGGATTCAAGTATTAGTTTCCCAAACACCAACCTGAAGGAAATTACTTGAAGTTGGATAACTGTTGGAAAGTGTAGGAGTGGCCTTAATAAGAGGGAGGTAGAATTAGGAGTTTATCCATAACCCTTACGACCTAACTTGCTCTTATTTTTAGTTATTTGATGTTGCTTCATCAGATTGTATTTCAAGGAATTCAGCAAAGCAATGATCCTTGATTAATCTTTGTATTAATTATATCATTTTTACAGATTTGAAGGCCACTCATACATCTCAGTTTTACAGTGTATCCTCAAAACCTTTGGATTACAGAATCCTGCTAATGGATGAAGATCAAGACCGCTTATATGTGGGCGGTAAAGATCACATTCTGTCTCTCAATGTAAACAGTATTAACCAGAATCCTCTTGCTGTAAGTTTTTCTTCTGACATTTTTTGGTGATGGAATGGCTTTTGTTAATGCTGTTGTTCGTTATATTTCCATCTGCCCTTTATTGTAATGCTCTTGCAATGAGATATTGTACAGACCACACAGGGTCTAGAATGATTGGGTACCTTACTGGCCTCCTAAGATGTGGCTGCAGCTTCCTGTAAAATTTCTCCCATAGTCTTAAGCAGCCCCAATCAGTCCAGACATTCCAGAAGCTGCTTTTCATCGGAAATTCCTGATCATAACTATGTCAGCACATCCAAAAACTATGTATTAAATTACCTTCCAAATGAACCAATGATAAAAACTCAATTTACTGAAGTACCAGAAGATGACTGATTTGAATGATCTATGCAAGTTGCTGTCTTTTCTGTTTTTATAGGAGTGGAAGATTCTCCTCCTGTTATTTTCCCCTAACTTACCTCTTCCCACCCCTTTCTGTTGCTGTAAGAATGTCTAACTGAAACAGCTAACAATAAACAGATTGTAGAGTTCCATCTACAAGGCCTGTATTTCTCATTTATTGTATATTAAATTGCTTTAATGGTGTGCTGAAGAATTTTGATATCTTTCATCAGGTTCACTGGCCAGCATCGAGCAATAAAGTGGATGAATGCAAAATGGCTGGCAAGGATCCAAATGTAAGTAAAAAATGTTTAGATTCTCCATTTGGTGATAGAATTTTTTTGACAGACATAGATTGATTGTGCTTTGCAATACAGAAGCAGGTCATTTGGCCCGAACGGTCCATGTCATTGTTTATCTTCCACGTCAGTGGTAACTGTAACCCCAAGTATTTACTGGTTCCCATATCCCATTATTCTACTTTCCTTCAACTACTTCCCAAATAGTTAAATATTGGCATGGTTTCTGCTTCAATCACAACTTGCTATGCGAACATGTTTCTCCAGTCTTTCTTAAATCTATTCATTATTTCACCTTATTCTACACTCTCAACTGCGTGACACAATAAACTTTAAATACAACTGACAAATTATCCCCTACTTTGTTCTAATGAAAGTAATCCCAGTTTGTTTACTCCTTCCTTATATTTGTATCACGTCTGTGCTCTTTTACCTACATTGGTTCCTGATCAAACAGCTAGATATTAAAATTTTCATTCTTTTTTCAAATTCTTCCATGGCCTTAGACTCATAGAGATTTTATAGCATGGAAAGAGACCCTTCAGCCCATCATGTCTGTGCCAGTCATCAAACATCCACCTATTCTACTAATTCCATTTTCCAGCACTTAGCCCCTAGGCTTATATGCTGTGCTGTCTCAAATGCCATCTAAATAGTTCTTAAATGTCTTCAGGGTTCCCACCTCTACCTCCTTTGAGGCAAAAAGTTCCAGATATCCACAACCCTCTGGGTGAAAAAGAATCTTTCCTCAAATTCCCTCTAAACCTCCTGTTCTTTACCCTAAAACTGTTTATTGACCCCTCTACTACGGGGAGAGGTTTCTCCCTATCTACTGTGTCAATGCCCCTCAAAACTTTCTTCAGCTCTAGCAGACACCACTCAGCCTTCTCTGCTATAAGGAAAATGGCCTCAGCCTATCTAGTCTCTTTTTATAGCTGAACCCCCTCCCACAGCCCAAACAACATCCTAGTGAATCTCTTCTGCACCCTCTCTAATGCAATCGAGAAACAAAAAGTCATAGATGTTTTCAAGGTTGGATTTTGTTTTTTGTCGAGCCACAGGAGCATGGGTCCCAGCTGTATAAAAATACCTCACGCTACCAGCTGGCTTAGACTTGCATTGCTCAGCTTCAGTTCTCCATTCATTTCCATCACAGTACCTATATACCAGGCTGGGTTCAGCATAGGAGCCAGCCAGGTTTGGCAGGCCCCAAACTGCAAGCCCCGTTTGGTAACTGCAGAATGCCATTCCCATTCAAATGTGGACTGATCCCAAATATTTTCAGAACTGAAGGTGCATGTTGGACTCGAAATGTTAACTCTGTTTCTCTACCCACAAGTGCTGCCAGACCTGCTGAGTCTCTCCAGCATTCTCTCTGTTTGTTTAATAGAAACTCCTTGATTATTGCCCTCTTCTATGATTCTATGATTCACCATTTTCTCTTGGTTTTTTTTGGTAGAATGGTTGTGGTAACTTTGTTCGTGTCATACAAGTTTACAACCGAACTCATTTATTTGTTTGTGGAAGTGGAGCATTTAGCCCCATCTGCACATATATCAACAGAGGCCGCAAGTCTGAGGTTAGTGTCATATGACAAATAAAGTGGTCATTGTATAACATCTACCGATTTTTACTGCACATTTGACTCTGAAGCTGACCTCAGGGCTGTTGCTCTGTCTTTGCAATGATGTAATATCCAGATTTCTCCTGCTTTGTGCACATTACAAGTTCCTGTAATTATTCCAGTGTATTCTGCTTCCTGGATATTTCAGGTTTTTCTACTTTAAAAGAATTTGGTTTGCATAATATGTCATTGTACTACTCAGAAATATCCCAGAGTACTAACATAATTTGTTATTTGATGTGTGGTCCCTAGTGTTATGTTGGGAAAAGCCTCGCAGATTTGTGATGTAATGTGTAAAAACAATTCTTAAGTTATGACAGGAACTAATAGTTTCAAGGGGCTCCATGCAAAATAGTTACACTTTGAAGTTAAAAAACAGTTACCTAAATGGCAACATAGTCGTTCATTTACTGCCTATAAACATACAGTACACAACCTCTGTTCTTGGAAATTTAACTGCAAAATGTTTTTTTTCCTATTTTTATTGATGAATGCTAAATTTTCATCAGAATGGTACTTAAAATCACGAGATTTATTTGTTCATTTATCGATGTTTAAATCCAAATTGTGGGCCAATCTTGCTATGAAATGTCACTGATTATGCAAGAGACCTCAGTCTGTCAGTGCATGATCTAAGATTCATTTGAATTTAATTTTCCATTTTCTTATCCTGTGTTTATTTTCTATTCTATCACACTGATGTTCCAACTGAGAAAGGAAATATCAAGTTATTTAATTACTCTTGGCCTTTCAGCACAGCTCAGTTTTAGATTATTAGTAGGACTTCAAAACAGAATCCATGCAGTGTGAAAGACAAAAATGACATTTTTATTTAGTTAAGGTTGGCTACTAGATCTAGTGAGATACTTTAAAAATAAAACGTTTATGGCAGTTAACGTTAAGAAACCTGAGTGTCAGCCACCATGGGGTCAAATTGTGTTAAGCAGACATGGTGCACAGCAGTAGGAGGAGGATGAGTAATGAAGCTTACATTGTACTTCCAACTGAGTAGACTGGAACTAAAATGCTTTATGACTTCTACAACCTTAAGGGAGTAATTATCATTGACTTTCTCAAGGCTGAGAGTCTGGAACTTGAAAAAGTTCTGGCATTATTTGGTGCATGTGCAAATGTACATGAAATTGGCACCAGCTTGCTGGAACACCAAACAAAAACTGAAAATAAACAAAACAGTGGAATTGATTGTTTTTTTAAAATGTTGACAATGTCTGCCCATAATATTGCCTAAGCACAGGAATAATAATTAGTATTTTAGAGCATGTTGTGCTGGAAGTTGTGCAATTTATATATATTTTAATATCATTTATTTCAGAGTATTGCTTTTGTGGCATATGTGTTTTTGTCTTTGTGTATGAGATGGTTTAATGATTGACTTGTCCATGTTTCTGGAGTATTTAAAAACCACTATAAAAGAGAGACTTCCTGGAGTGATATTGAGCATTTATTTACATTGGATTAGAGATTGAAATCTTCTCTTATAGGAAAACACCATATCTTGGAAAGCTTTTAGTTACAGTTCTTTTTAGCTGCATTTTCTTTTGCATAATAAACTTCTGTTTTCTTGTTTAAAATCAGTTGTGCTGCATTGTGTATTTGTGCTTCACTGAAAGAGCACCTTATTAAATTAAAATAAATATATTTTATCAAGTTAGATTTCAGTCTGGGATCTGGCTTGTCCAATAAGAACATAAACTGAATGAGAAGTCACATGACACCAGGTTACAGTCCAACACATTTATTTGAAATCATAAGCTTTTGGAGTGCTGCCCTTTCATCAGGTGAAATGACAAAGGAGTAGCGCTCCAAAATCTTGTGATTTCAAATAGACTTGTTGGACTATAACCTGGTGTTGTGTGACTTCTGACTTTCCACCCCAATCCAACACTGATACCTCCGCATCATAGAATAAACTGAGATTATAACAATATGCATTTCACCTTATTAGCTTCCCCTCAGAAAACAAGGTGAGAGGTTATCCAGTGGAGTGCCTTTACTCAAAGTCCTTGTACAAATGCACCTCAATGAAACAGCAAACCTATAAAAAGATATTGAAATAGAACAAAATATTGTTTTCTTTTTCATTCAAAACAAGAGGCTGATTTTATGACTGGGTAGAAATTGCCCCCATGCGTCACAGGCATGAACCAATTTAGGAAAAAATGTCTTGCTGTAAAGGAAGTTTGATCCAATAATTGGTTGGGTCATTTTTTAGTTTTCCCGCAGTTTTCTAGCTGGCATTAAGGCACTTCCACTGTCCAGTGATAGGTCATACATTTGTTTTGGATTCCTGGAAGAAATGGTTTTTGATAAATAGAAATGGAGCAGATTCTGACTCCCCTATACCTCCCAGCAGCAGCTGTCCAACTGCCAACAAAAGATAAGATTCTATTTGCACTTCTAAAAATCATTCCCGTGGATCCAAGGGATGAGAAATACCTTTAGACTTCACATGTTCCTCTACCGCACCACCGCATACTTGCCAGCACCACACTATCATTAATTCACCACTTTTACTACCAATCCCAATTCACACAGGCTTGTCTTCAGACCATTGCAGGACAAGCAGCCTGAAATCCATTCATATCAGAAGGGTCAAGTTGCTGGTGAGGTACAACAAATAGCCTACTCAAGTAATGGGAAGAGGCCCAGAAACAGGAAAGAATTTACATCCCTCACATTCTATACTTGTGGTCAATCTGAAGCTCAGTGTAACTAATTTCACATTATACATGCTTTAACAACGAACCCCCCTCATTGTGGCTTTTTATTTCGCAGGATCAAATATTCACAATAGAGTCAAAGAATGAGTCTGGAAAGGGCCGTTGCTCATTTAACCCTCAGGTTAAGACAGTGTCCTTTATGATCAGTGAGTAGAATGGACTAAACGAAACCACTTATTCTATTCTTAAAATGTAATAATATTGAAATATTGTTTTAATAATATATCTGTGATTCGTATGTCACTTTCTGTCTAGATGAAGAATTATTTTCAGGAATGTATATAGACTTCATGGGCACTGATGCAGCAATATTCCGCAGTGTGACAAAAAGAAATAGCATAAGAACAGACCAGCACAACTCCAAGTGGCTAAGTGGTACGTGCATCTACATGATTAGGTTACAATGCATTTAGTCAATTAAGTAGCTTAGTTTAGCTGTACCTAACTCCATCTGTGCAACTAACAACAAAGTATATTTCTTGCAAGGTTTTTCTCCCCACTAGATTGAACTTAGTGTCCCTTCTTGTTGTTTAAATTCGTATTTCCTGAACTTTGTGGGATATGACTGTAACTAAGGAAGATATGTAAGATATGTCCTCGCTTCAAAAGTGTAGCTGTAATGCTGGGAAAGTTTTACTCAGAGCGTGTCGAATTTATTCATTTTTGATTGTGAAATCAGCCTGTAATTTGCATACGTGTTATCAAGAATAGTTAAATAACTTATTAATTTAATTATGTTCTTGGGTGGTAATAAATATTACTAATTTTATATGCTTAGATTATATGAACTATCATTTTTATATATAAAATATTGTTATAATATAGTATTATATTACATCATAAGCATAACTTCTCTGGGTTGGCAAGTTGTAGGTTCAAGTCCATTGCAGACAGCAAGCATGTAGCACAAGCTGACGCAATTCTTTTGTTACATTTTTTTCAAGTATTTTTCAGTGTATACTGTATAGAATTGCATAGAATAGAATTACATAGAATATGCAACACAGGAAAAGAACAGGCAATTTGGCCCAAAATGATCCATGACCGTGTCCATGCTCCAGCAGAACCACCTCCGATGCCACTTTTACAGTATCTGCACATCCTTCTACTTATTTCTCCCATTTATGTATCTAGCTTCTTAGATTCATGTACATTCTTCCAAATTTCCTAACCTTGCTCACGTAGTGATGTTTGCATTCCAATGTGACCAAAGGTTTTGAACTATCTATCAGATTTCTGAATTTTGATTTGAATATGAACTGTCTTTAATATTGACTCAAAATGTTCCTGTTGGATTCACTGCTGGATTCCTTTCCCTCTGGTAGAACCTGTGTTTGTGGATGCCCAGATCATTCCTGATGGCACAGACCCAAATGATGCAAAATTGTACTTTTTCCTTCGGGAGAAGGTGACTGATGATAATGGTAATACCAAGCAAATTCTCTCCAGGATTGCCAGAATATGTCCTGTAAGTAAATCTTTTGACCAGGGATTCCAACTGGGCATGATTTCTAAAGTATGTATTTCACCGGCTGTAAAGATGTTGAGGTAGATGAAGCTTGGCTTGTTTTACAAAATTGATATTTTGAAGCAGATTTTATTTTACAATCAGGATGAATACCTCACTCACTGTGTGACTGGCAGTGTGAATGTAGAGAGGCATAATTTCTGCCAATCCCATGTCTTGACCCAAAATCTACTTGTTTTCTTAGGATTATAATGATTTAAATAATGACCCCCAAGCAAAATTTCAAGGATCCCAGGCCAATTGCCTTGGATCAGAAGAGAAATAGTTTTTCGACAATTTAGCCAGGAGTGCTGCAGTGCTGAAAATGTGTTTTTTTTCTCGTTTCAAATGCCCTGCTACGCCTAACTTTACATGATCATTCTGTACTCACAATGGTGGTCCTTCCATTTTTAATTCCATCACTAGTCTGCTGCAAACTTAGATGTGAGTGATTGTTATAACCAGTCCCTGGGCAAGGGTCTAAAATCTGTCATGATTCCATGAAGGTGAGAGATTCTGGTCGCGTTGATTTGCAGATGAATAGATGTTTTTGAGATTCTTGGTTCTGCAGTTAGGAGTTTGTCCAGTTTCTTTCACATCACAGCTTTGGTGTCTTGGTTTGTATTTAGCTATCAGGGAGGAAGAGATTTTATGTATTTTTGACTGAATGTGCAAGGGTGTCAGTAGAAATTCTCAACTGTGCAAATTTGGCTTAGCGATAAGGTAAAGTCTCCATAGTCTAACCAGACCATAGGGTTGCTGTCTTATTCAAGATAGATGGCTGATGGTGGTTTAATCTGAGGGACACATGCCACACGTAACGCAAGAGGTTGAGAAGGAGAGTCCTTTGTGGTAACCTCAGCCAGTGGACAATTTGAACCTACCCTGTTGGCATCATTCTGCATTACAAACCAGCTGTCCAGCCAACTGACCCAGCCAAGCCCTATTTGGTCAGGGGCAGGGGGTGGTTGTGCCTTCATTGAAGCAGTTTAGCTATGAAGAGAGCCTGGATCAGATCAGGTTGTTTTCTTTTGAGCAGAGGGGTCTGAGGGAGGACCTGATAGAAGTGTATTAGATTGTGAGGGGCATGAATAGGGTGGATAGGAAATAGCTGTTCCCCTTAATTGAAGGGTCAATAATGAGGGGACATAACTTTAAGGTGAAGGGTAGGGGGTTTAGATGGGATTTGAGGAAAGATCTTTTTTTCACCCAGAGGCTGGTAGGAATCTGAATGTACTGCCCAGGAAGGTAATTGAGGCAGGAAATCTAACAAAGTACGTGGATGAGCTTGAAGGGTCATAACATTTAAGGTTATGATCCATGTGCTAGGATGTGGGATTAGAACATGAATTTCTTTGGGGTGGTGGGGTGGGGGGGTAAATCAGCAACACTACCCCTCCTCCTGTCAATAATCTCTGTAGCCACGAGAGATCACAGTTTGGAATTCCATCTGCTCCTTTGAAGCGTTGTCTGAAATTCCATTGACGCACTTTAGGTAAAACTCTCCATGCAGTTTTTAGGTGGCCGTTCTATTTAAGTTTGGAGACATTTTTTGGTTTATATGTCTTCCTTTTGAAAAAAGCACTTTGTCAATATATCTGTAATTAATTTGGGGTTATGATCCATTGTCAAAACACATCCTAGTGCATTAAGTTGCTAAAACGTCAGTGAGTAAAATATGATACATCTTTGCTGTTTGTGTCTGTTGTGATATACCTTCCCATGTATAAATAGATTAATGTAATCCTTGCACCAACTCTGGCTTTAAATTATGCAAGGGAGCATTCAGCATTCGCAAGACAGCAGAATAACTTCCATAAAGACATAACAAGGTGTAGAGCTGGATGAACACAGCAGGCCAAGCAGCATCAGAGGAGCAGGAAAGCTGACATTTCGGGCCTAGGCCCTTCTTCAGAAATTTCTGAAGAAGGG